TGGTGTGAGAATGACTGGCCATAGAGAATACTGTCTCCCATGCTTCCCAAATGGGCTGAAACCGTCCGTACATAATCCAAGGTAGACATTTCTTCTCTCATACGCAAATTCTGGATAGGTCGCCTGGAAATGCTTCCAAGCTTTTGCATCTGAAGGATGTCTAATCTCACCATCCGTTGAATGCTCCGCATGCCATCTCATTGGTTGCACTGTGCGTTCAGACTGATACAACCTCTGCAACCTTTCCGTCAAAGGCAAATACCACATCCTTTTATATGGCACTGGAACTCTTCCACTCGTATCTTTATAACGAGCCTTCCCACAAAAATTGCATGTATCCAGCTGCTCATCCGCCCTCCAATAAATCATGCAGTTATCCCTGCATACATCTATTACCTGATACGATAAACCAAGACCAGCTACCAATTTCTGAACCTCGTAGTATGAACCAGGGGCAACATTATCCTCAGGTAGAACACCTTTTACAAAATCTGCAATCGCATCCACACAGTCTTCAGCCAAATTATAATCGGATTTAATGCTCATCAGTCTTGTTGCAGATGATAAAGCTGAATGACCATCTCTGCAACCTTCGTACAAAGGTTGCTTTCCAGCATCCAACATTTCATAAAATCTTCTAGCTTCTGCATTGGGTAAATCTTCCCCTCTAAAATGATCATTTACCATCTGCTCAGTACCTACACCATAATCTACGCCCGTTCTAATTGGTTCTTCTAACCTAACCGGAGGCTGAGGTTCGCTAGTACTACCATATTCATAACCAGTTTCCCCATGATGATACCAAACTTTGTAACTCCGTGTAAATCCTCGAATATATAGATGAGTCCAAACATCTAACTGTTTAATAATCTTCCTATTTTTACAAGTAGAGCAAGGACATCTTAACATACCCGTTTCAGCTTCCGGTTGGTTGAGAGCTTTCCCCATGAATTCCTTTAGACCACTTTCGAATTCTGGCGTAAGCAATCTCGTGTTCGGATCCATATGAGGTCGATCGATCCACGAGCGATGATAATTATAAGAAGACATGTTTTTTTCAATCAGATTCNCTTCCTATTTTTACAAGTAGAGCAAGGACATCTTAACATACCCGTTTCAGCTTCCGGTTGGTTGAGAGCTTTCCCCATGAATTCCTTTAGACCACTTTCGAATTCTGGCGTAAGCAATCTCGTGTTCGGATCCATATGAGGTCGATCGATCCACGAGCGATGATAATTATAAGAAGACATGTTTTTTTCAATCAGATTCATGTGTGCAAAATAGAATGAGAGAGGATGAAGATATGGAGTGAATGAAGAGGATGAGGGGTGCTTGTATTTATAGATGAAATTTGCCGACAATTCCCACGAAATTCCCAGGAAATTCCGAGGCACTAGCCGTTGCTGTCGTAATTTCCTCGGAATTTTTGAAATACCACAACGGCTAACTAACGGCTATAATTTCTCATCGGATTTTCCTCGGTTTATTTCGAGGGACTTTTGTCCCTCGGAATTTCATCGGAAAATTCCGAGGAAAAGTGTGTTCCTCGGAATATCATCGGAATATTCCGAGGAACCAACGTTCCCTAGGAAATTCCCTCAGTATCGCTCTGTTTTCTTGTAGTGAAATATACACCCAAACGTATGGCTGATGTAGCATTCCTCCAAATCCATTGTACGTAGTATTTTTGGCCGACTTATCTCCAAACTTCCTCGTATTGGTATTGGGTTGTCTTGAACAAGATAACCATAAACATTCTATAAAATGAAACTAAACTCCCTCACCCCACATAATATTTCCAAGCCCAAAAATTAAAAACACAAAACAAGTAACCCCCCAATTATGAGTAAACACATCCAAAAAAAATCAAAGCAACCATTCCAAACCAACTATATAATATAGACACAACAAAATAAATCATGCCATATATAATCTCTCTTCAATCAAACCATCCGCCTCAAGCATAATTTAAAACATAAATCATTCTCATATATCACTTCCATTGGCAAACTTTCTAAAAAAAAAAAAAAATTATCATACACATCTGTTAATGTAAACCTAAAAAACCACAAAATCATACAAAAAATAGTAAATTATATCACAAGTAAAATATATCTCACCTCTAGGGTGAACCAACCTTAGCAATAAAATAGGAAAGAGAATTGGAAAAATAGGAAACAAAATGTCTTGCAAAGAAACGTTACACATATGGAAAGAACTTAATTCTACAAGCGTCTTTTTTTTTTATTTGCATAACTATTTTTTAGTTATTAAATTTAGTTAGATAAAAAATTATGTTACAATATTAGTATAAATTCATAAAGACTGTGAGAGAGATACTTCATTAATGCTGGTGCTCTAAGGAGTTCAGTGCAGAGATTCGATTGTGAAGCTTTTGATTTAAATTTGATTTTTCTCGTTTATTTTTATCATATTTTTGTTTTAGATACTTGTTTACTATTGTTAATGAACATGTTCTTAGTGTGTACCTCAAAAACCACACATCTCTCCTTTTTCTCTCGCTTCCTTCTCTCTCTTTTCTTCTTGAAGTTTTCTTGGTGTTCTTGTGCTTTTGCTTGGACGTTGGTTTCTTCAATGTCGGAGGCTAGTTTTTTCCCAAATTTAGTTTTATCTTTGTTCTCTATTTCTATCAAGATCCATCTTCGATATGTTTTGGAGTTATGGGTGTTTCTTCGTCGGTGGGTGTCTCTTTGCCAATTGAGCATTTTGGAGTTCCAACGAGTTGGTGTGAGCTTGGCTGAGCAAGAGATTCGTTTTTTTCATCTCTAATATATATCTGTAATCTGCGTTCTGATTTAGATCATGTTTCCTTGGATTCGTGGGTCTTATTCAGTTTGAGCCATGATAGTTAATGTTTGGATGGTGGTGTCTTAGTAGTCTCTTGATTAGGGTAATCTGTCTTTTGGTTGCTTGTCGTGTTGCAAGGTTTCTTTTTATTTAGTTTGGGTGAGATTCTTTCTTAGATCGTATAGTGTGGACCGAGTTGCGTGTTCCCCTGCTCAAGGTTTGAAGTTTCTGGTTCAATTGTCAAACTATTTTGAAATCTAACTTTGACTTCATTCTAAGTTCTCATATTAGTCATATGCTCCTCACTTTTTTCATGACCTTTTAGTCTATCACCAATACGTTTCCAATCTCTTAATCCTTCATTTGCTAATAAACTTATGTTTCCATGAGATTTAAACAACTTACAACAAAAACAATAAACTTTATCAACATGATTTGAGTAAATTATCCATTTTCTATCAACTGTTTCCCCATTACACAACTTTCTAAAATAATGCTTATATGCAAAATGTCTTTTTGTTTTTTCATCAATAGGAAATTCAAGATTCATGTCTCTTTTTGGTTCTTTTTCAATCAACAAATCTCTTGTTTTACTATCAAGATTATTCCAATTTCTAGGATCATAGATATCAAAAGAAAGAATTGGTGGCTCATCAATGTTAATATTTTCAAAATTAGATGGATTTGACTCTTTTTCAACATTAGCTTCTGTTCTAAAACTCTCACTATTTGTGTTTTTTTTTTCTTAATAAATTTATCTAAAGCCCCTCTTTGAGATTCTAAAAATTGTTCATCAAGTTTTTTTTTCTCTGCTCATTTCCAGACACCATCTCTTTTTAAAATAAAAGAACAAAGTCACCTGGATTTGATGTACTTAACAAGACCCACCAACAAAAGTTTTACAACTGCATAAAAAATAAATTCAGAAATAGTTATAAAATAAAAATCTGAAACAATCGACAAAGAAACAAATATAATTGATTAAACATACCTCTAAGAAAAAAATTTCACTAACAGATCTATGAATAGAATAAGACTTCTAGTTTGTGATTTGCGTTAACGGCACCGCTTGGCTTTGGTTCCAGAGCTTTTTCGTTTGTCAACGAGAAAAAAATGGAAACGGTGAGAATACATTTTTTTTTTACGTTTTGTCTATGCTAAGTAAATTAGGTTTAATTAGTAATGGGCTTTAGGATAATTTGATGGATTGGAATAGACCCATGAAACAACACAAAAAAAATTATGGACCTATGGACCCATAGCAAATGCCCATTTTGCCATGGGTAAAAGACGGGGATGGTTCTTGGGCTTATTGTTTGGCGGGCGAGACAGTAACAATAAGTGTAGTTTCAGTGCAGAAGTGGAAGGTTCCGGGTGTCGATAGTGGTATCTCCCGATCAGTAGTGTTTTATCTTTTCAAAAGACTGTTAGGTTTTATAATCTGACTCTTGCGCATATCTTATTTGTTTCTGGTAATTTTGTGGATATTTTCTAGGTGTGTTCATGGTTTGTTTTAAGTTTTCTCGGTGTGGATTTAAGTTGTCTTTGTGTGGGTTAAAGTGACCGTTTTCTACGGATTTTCTTGTTTGTTGATGTTGTGTCCCAGGACGGGTTCTTGTTATCTATTTTATGGGTTTTTGTTTACTACTCCCTCCGTTTCAAATTATATGTCATTCTAGAATAGAATTTTCGTTTCAAAATAAGTGTCGATTTATAATTCCAATGCAAAATTTATTAATTTTGAATGTTATTCTATTTTTTCATTGGTTAAAAAGTGGTTAGGTGTATAGGTAATTGTGTTTTTATTTTGAAAATATGTAAAATTAATTATTTTCTTAATTTGAATGCAAAACTCTAGAATGATAATTAAATTGAAACGAAGGGAGTAGTATTTTACGATGAATAAATATTAATTTGAGGGGAGAAGAAAAAGTAAAGTTCACCTCAAATGTTCAAATCTAAACCCCTTGACGAAAAAGGGGGCAGATATGTTTGACCATCTTTAAACTTCCGGTCAAATCTTTAAAGGGTGATGTATCCGCCGCTTTGTGATAAATCTTTTGACTTTTGACATTTTCCCTCGCATCGTATCGCCTTTAATATCCGTTAAGATCCTGCCACGTATAAATGATATAACCTGAACCGTTAAGATTTCTTCCCCCAATATTGGTCTAGTCTCCGTCTTTTCTGGTGTTTCGATCTGTTTATTTCTTTGACCAACAAAAAAAAGGGAAACTTTATAGAGCTTTTCTTTCTTTCATTCAACACATTCCTCAATACTTGAATCTTACTGCTTCTTCTTCTCTCGCGCAATTTTATTTGTTCGGATATCTCCTATTTTGTTGAGTTGATCGTGATTGGGGTTTTTGGTAGAGATGATGAAAGCATCGTTAGGGAGGTTAAGGAGATTCGCATTGCCTAAGGTCGATGCGATTGATATTGGGGAGCTTTTGCCCACGGCACAAATTGATGGCCTTGCTCTAGCCGCCAAGGTTAATTCCTTCTTCTTACTCAGTTAATTTTTTTTCTTCGATTAGACCTGGAACTATGTCAATTCCTTAGAAATAAACCCTCGCTTCATCGATGGAGCTTTTTTTTTTACTTATGAGCTTTTGCATTAATTTTGAAATTGACATATAATTAGTTATGGTAAGAATTGAAACTGTAACTGATGTTAGTTAGTTGGTTGTTTTGTTTCCGGAATTTGTATTTAATGATAATAGATTAAAAACGTTCCTTCACAATTTGATTATTACTCTTTTTTTTTTTCTCAGGATATGACAGAAATGAGAGAGAGTTACGATAGATTACTCTCCGTAGCTGCTGCAACGGCCAATAGCGCATTTGGTAAGATATACAATTCTCAACTTTATGAATCTGCAATTTTTTGTGGAGTTTCCTGCATGAAAATTTATATGTGCATTCATTCAGAAACAAAAAAAATCATATGTACATATTGTTCACACTTTACTTATTATTTGTTTTTTTTTTGTTTGGTAATGTCAGAGTTCTCTGAATCACTGGGGGAGATGGGTTCATGCTTGGAGCAAATCTCTCCGCATAATGATGAAGAAAGTGGTAAGTCTGCTTTTTTTCAAAGATTCTTCTATCGAAGAGCTTTGTTTTGTTCAGTTTTGCATGCTGAAACATTGTTTCTTTCTTCTGCAGGTAGAATTTTGCTCAAGTTGGGTCAAGTTCAGTTTGAGCTCCAAAAACTCGTCGACACTTATGTAAGTGTTGCAACTTTGTACTTTCTGTGAAGCAGTATGTATAGTTCTGAACAAACTGAGATCAAGTTCTTGCTTCTTCACTCTCTTTTTCCTGCAGCGTTCTCAAATATTCAAGACCATTACTCGACCTTCAGAGTCACTTCTCAATGAACTTAGAACCGTCGAGGTATGCTCTAGCTTTAAAGTCTTTTGAATGTTTAAGAGTTTGTACAAAAGCAAGAGCTAAATTTCAAGTTTACGGGGAACAACCTTATTAATCTCCTTATCTTTTTCTTTTATTTTCCTATCAGGATATGAAGCAACAATGTGAAGAAAAGAGGTCAGTTAACTCCTGAGATATACTAGTATTTTCGTTTCTCATTTTTTGTTTGATTATTTGTTGCCTTAACCTCTAGAGTCTTACTTACAGAGACGTCTTTAAGCACATGATGAAAGACAAGTTACACCTTAAAGGCAGTAAAGGGGAGAGACTTGTACGCCGACAGTTAGAGACTGCTCGTGATGAGCTACAAGACGAGGTGACTTTGTGCATTTTCCGATTGAAATCTCTCAAGGAAGGACAAGCTCGGAGTCTCCTCACACAAGCAGCCCGCCACCACACTGCTCAGGTACCTTCCCAAATAAGATTACTAATCTCTGTGAGCAACTGTTCAATTAGTGTCTCTAATGCTTTCTTTCTTTTATATTTTCATAGATGCATCTGTTCTTGGCTGGTCTGAAATCGCTTGAGTCAGTAGAGAAACAAGTCAGAACTGCTGCAAAGAGACAACACATCGACTGTGAGCTCTCTGATAACGAGAACGAAACGGAATGTAGTGAGGATGACCAACATTTTAACAGAGATGGAGAACTCAGTTTTGATTACATAACAAGTGAGCAGAGAGTAGAAGCTCTACCTACACCACAAGGATCGATAAAGGTAAATTTTGAAAACAAACCTATATCATCAAACGAAAAGCTCTATCCATAGAAAATAAGCTCATATGACTGCTATATATTCCTGTAGATAGATGCCACAGATGTCTCATTTCAACGCCCTTCACAAGCAGGGTCAGCAACAGTATGTTCTTTCTTGATTTCCTGTTACTTGAGAACTCTCAATAGTATTAGGAATCCTGTGTTGAAGTCCATATTTGTTGATTCAGGTAAATGCAGATCATAGAAGAAGCAGCCATTCAGCACCGTTGTTCCCACAGAAGAAGACTGATTTAATGACTCCGTCTGTAAATGCTTACGTATTACCAACTCCAGTCGATTCAAAGTCTTTCACAAAACCGGTCACTCAGACAAAACACAGTGCACACTTGTGGCATTCATCTCCGCTTGAACCGACTAAAACCGTTCTTAAAGATGTGGAAAGCAACTTCTATTCCCGTCTTCCCCGTCCTTCTGAAACTCCTCAGTTTTCTCAGCAGGCAGCTGCACCAAGACACGCATTTTCTGGACCCATCAAACCATCCTCAACCCGTCTTCCAGTTCCGGCTCAGGCTCAGTCATCTTCTCCAAGGATCTCTCCTACCGCTTCACCTCCGCTCGCTTCTTCTCCACGGATCAACGAACTCCATGAGCTTCCAAGACCACCGGGTCAACTAGCACCGCCACCACGACGCTCCAAATCTCCTGGAGTTACTGGCCACTCAGCTCCTATAACCACTTGGAATCAAGAAAGAAGCAATGTAGTTGTTGTGTCTGCAAACATTGTAGCATCACCACTTCCGGTTCCACCTTTGGTTGTACCAAGGAGCTACTCCATACCTTCGAAAGGAGCTCAACAACCCTTGCCCGAAACGAATCAGAACAGAGTAGTATCTCCACCGCCTCTGCCGCTAACTCCAGCGTCGTTGATGAACCTGAGATCCTTGTCTCGGTCTAGAGTACGGGAAGTTGGTCCGAGCGCTCAAAGGAGAGGTAACGAACACTCATTTTGTAACCTTGGAACTGCGAAATCTTCATCACCACATGACTTTAACACGAGAGTTGTTGTTTATGTTAAACCACAGGAGTAAAAGTGATTGAACGATGAAGCCGTAGTAGGAGCGTGGCGTTTGATGAAAACGTTGGGTTGTAGGTTTAAAGTAAGGTTAATAAAGATGTTAAATATAGAAGAGGACTAGACAGACAGGGGCATAAGTAAATATAGAAGTCAGATGTTTGTAGTTATTTAGTTTTTGAATCTCCTAAGTTGTCACCTTAGACTGTTTTTGTTTCCCTTAGACTGTATATCTCTTTCACTTTGTAATTTATTTATTTATTCTGAAAATTTGGAGAAAGAAAATGAGAAATTGGAGAAAATGCTGCCTTGTCTTATTTAATTTTAAAATATATGTAATTACATCTCTTTCTAAAAATATTAATATTTGTTAACTTTACTCTGAACATTATATATATTTGTTAACCTTATATTCATGTATGTATATATATTAAAATATTATATATATACAGATATAATTAATATATTTTATGTAAACTTTATTTTCTTTATTTATTAATTAATTATTTAGTTATTAGAGCTTTAAAATTAAATAACTTTTTTATTTTTTTCCAGTTTTAAAATTTTTTTTTTATTCTTAAACCAATATCCGATTAAAATATATAATTTTTAGATATTTGAATAATTGCGGAGTGAATCAAGTTACATAATTAATTATTCGGATGAAACTAGTCGAATCACAAAATATTTTTAAAAATTCCCGATTAGTGTCCTTTAAAACCATAGGTAAATATTTTTATTTTTCTTTCTGATTATGGTATCTTCTATATTAAAAAATAAACATATGATATTAATATGTTCACATTATATATGTTCATCACATGGCAACCTCACAATAATTTAAAAATGAGTATGATGACGTGCCACGTATAGAAGGTTCTCAACTAAAATTTACATAAAGTATTAACACTACATATTTACTATACGTTTTTTACAATATAGAATTCATATACAAAGATCTTACATAAAAATAATTTATAAAAAAATCATTAGTATCTAGACCTATTTTACTTTTATTTAAATTTATTTTAAGAATTTTATCTTGCATGTTTTATTTTGAAAAAAAAAATATATATATATATATATTTATCTATTTATCAACCATCTTTATATACTTTTACATAAATATATATGTACATATTGACGTAAGCAAATATATAAATAAAAAACTTATAAATTAATAATGTTGGGATTTTAAATTTTTATTAGTTTATAGAGTTATTTATTTACAAAAAGTTTCGTCTTTTAGATTTTTCTATTTTAAAATATTTTTATAAAATAAAAAATATATTGGATTTTAGTGTATATGCATTAACTAACTTTTTAAAATTTGATACTTATAATAATTTATTATATTATTTGGTGTATATAACATATATCTTCTAGAATTTAAATGTAATTTATATATAATTTTACTAAATCTCATCAAAATATATTAAGAGTTAAGAAATATAAGGATAATATTATTGTTCATACAAAACAAACAATATAATGGTTGGTTTATACATATATATGACATATATACATAGAAATTATTAATTTATAAGTTTAAGGAGACCATATATTAATAAAGGATTTCTAACAAATTATTGTGTTATTATTTTATTGATTTATGTCATATTTTAAACCGGTCCAACTTGGGACCGGAGAAATTTGTTACTTTATAGTATTTGTTAATTTATCTAGGAATAAATATTAGTTTATAAAATTTCTACTGTAACTAAAATATTCGCCACAAGTGAAGATTTTAATTCTCTTGAAGTTGAAATATTATTTTTAATCATTCCTTTCACAATCGACCAAATAATAGTGAGATGATTTGTCTTAATAATGTTTTCTCTTCAACTATTATTTAAATTTTATTGGATTTTCATGCATTTAGAAATTATAATATGAATCAACTGGTTTGATTTCAAAATTGTCTAAAATTCATATAACATAAAACTAAACAAAGAAAAATAGTTTTTTCTTCACCGAATAATTAAAAACCTCCAGCATTTTAACCTAACAAACCAAAATAAATAAGAATTTAAAATGATTGTTATATTTTAGTAGCTTAAAAATCGAAAAAACAATCTGAAAACGAACCAATATCCAAATTAAGTCAGATTTAATGTCTTTTTATCTTAAAGAATTAACGAAATAAATAATCTCATTTTGTGTGAAATGATGATTATTATGTACTGATATTATTTTATAAGAATTGAAAAGAGGAATTGTTTAGGATAGACATAAAATTATCATAAATACAGACCTTAAAATTAAGAATGACCAAAATAGATTTAAATGTTTTATCAAAAATAAGTAAACATACATTTATATTCTTGGGAAAATTTCCGAAAAGGGACAAAATACCAATACTATTGTCCCCTTAGAAGAAAATCAACTTTTGTCATATTTGGACATTCACTACCTTTTTTATCTATAAAACTCATATTAATTTTTTTACAAGGTAAAAAAATATGAAAAAATAGTAAACTTGATGTAGATAAGCATGTCCATATAAGAAAAATGTATTGAATGTTTAAATAGTAAATTCAAAAATAGAGTAAAGAGGTTAGTAAGTAAGATCTACCATCTACGACAATGTAGAATATGTAGTCTAAGATAAATTCAACGTTCTAAACAGAGTAGGATGCGCATATACCATAAACATACATAACTACTAAGTCAAAATATAAAATCCACCACATTCTCTGTAGTCTACGATTTTGGTAGACTGTAATTCGTAGAAGTAAACTTTTATCTACCACGGTTGGAACTAGATTCTTCACAGTGTGTTTTTATCTACAACCGTCGTATACCATATCCTAGTTCTTCATCTACCTTCTATACTGGTAGAATGTAAGTTCTAGAAAAAAATTAAACAAAATCCGAAAATCTAGCCAAAAACGGTTATGAAATATTTTGTAAATCTTTTAAATATTTTAATTTCCTTTTTTTTTTCCAATTCTTTTTAATAGAGTCTTGTTAATCTCAAATCCATTGTGAGGGTTTTTCATCTTTCTAGCTTCTTTCAATCTCTTGTCCCTCTCACATATGAAGATTCACATATACGCTTCATGTGGTTTGTGAAAATTGTCGATAAACACTGGATAGGTTCTTGTCTATGAAGAAAAAGGAGAGAGGTTACTTACTTTGGACACAAGTTCAACATTCGAGAATGTAAAGGTTATGGTGTGTGAAGACCTTGAAATTGATGTAAACATGGTCAATTTGGAGCTCGGTTACATACCTTCAGATTTGATCAATAGCATCGACTCACCACCTGTTTTCATCACCAATGATCGGCAAGTTAAAAAATTTATTAGTTATGTGAAGAACAAACCTTCGAAGCGGTTGTGTGTGAGTATTCAATCTAAACTGGATAAAACTAATAGCAGAGGCGATTTTGACTTGAATGTAGAAGCGGCTGACTCGAACAGAGATAAAGATCCTATGGATATTGACAATTCAGATGATATGGGTTTCGAAGAAGATGTTGAATTAGATGACAGTGATGAGGACAAAAAGTGGGACATAGAGAAGAGCAATGGAAATGGTGTTCGCTTTTGTTTGGTGGAAGTCGCAAAGAAGGGTCAGCATTTTAGTTCCAAAACACTTTTGAAGGTAGCATTTGAAATATGTGCTATGAAACATAATTTCGAGTATAAGGTTGTCAAGTCGGATAAAAGAGTGTGGTACATTCATTGCTCACATGATGGTTGCAGCTGGCGCGTTCGAGCAGAGGGTTTAACAGGTTCATCGTATTTCATCATCAAAAGTATGTACTTGATCATTCATGTGCTCCATCGAGAAGGAACGGTTCTGTTCATTCAGCTTCAGCCAAAACTGTTGGTATTCTGATTATGCATAAGTTTGAAACCGCTAACGAAGGGCCGAGATCCAATGATATAATCGATTATGCGTAACAATCATGGAGTTGAGATATCGTATTATTTGGCGTGGGATGCACGTGAATATGCAATCAATGCAGTGAAAGGTATTCCAGAGAAAGGTTATGAAAAAATTCTCAAATACTTGTACATAATGAAGGAAGCTAATCCAGGGTCACACACGTCTTATGAAACGGATTCCCAAGAGAGATTCAGATTTCTATTCATCTCGTTTGGTCAGAGTCTTCGCGGTTTCTATGATGCAATTCGGAAAGTTATTGTCGTGGATGGGACGTTTTTGAAGAGAAAATACAAAAGAGTATTACTGGTTGCTACTGCATTAGATGGAAACTCAAATTTATATCCTATTGCAATCAGAGTTGTCGACTCAGAGAATGACCTCAGTTGGGATTGGTTTATGAGACAAATTAATGTGGTCATTGCTAACGACCATAAATTATCTTTTGTGTCTGATAGGTGTAACTCAATTACTAAAGCCATTGCGGCAGTATACCCGCAAGCTCATCATGGAATTTGCATTCATCACTTTCTGAATAATGTTGTAACAAATAGCGGTGGGAAAGGTGTGGCTGGTTTGGTTGCAAAGGCCTCTAAAGCTTATGGAGCTGCTGATTTTCATAAGCTATTCACTTATGTTTACTCTATTAGTCTTGGCATTGGAAATTATCTCATACTAGCCGATTGATATATCATGGATTTTACCCACTTTTTACCATGATTTATATATGTTTTTGGAAACAAAAGGATACTTTTAGTGTCTTGTTAGAGCTTTTTACAGGTTCAGGTACTCACTGGTGTAAAATGGTCATTTTGGAGCTAAAATGGAGACTTTATGAAGATATGAGCGAAACGTGTTGAAAATATCGATCGATGTGCATTAAGAGCAATCGACCGATGAAAGATCTTCCAAATTGATCGATAGAAGACATTCTATATCGATCGATACAGAAGTCCTCTAAAGCAACTAAATGAAGATTAGAAGCCTTAATTGCTTCACAAGAGATTTAATAATTTACACCTTAAGTCCCTAGCCGCCTGTTAGGCTATTTTAAGAGGGTTATTTACTAGATTAAGCAGACTTCTCTAGAGAACTTTAGACCTAATTTGGAGAGAAGCATCTAGCCATACTTTGAAGAAGAGCTTAGGAATTGAGAGAGAGATCTGAACTACAATCCAGAGAAGATCTTGAACTCCCTTGCTTTACTTATTGTTTCTCTTATTTTCATTATCTTAAAGCATTATTCAAACCATTATGACTTTGTCTCTCATAAATATGTTTGAGTAGTCTCTCTTGTTAGATCTTGGTTTCTCATTAGGATTGACTCATGCATTGAAGTAATCATCATAAGGGTGTTTAAAATATAGTTCTAAAATCTAGTCATCACGAATACTAATGTTAAGGATTGATCACCCTTACCTCTGATTTTAGGATTAATTTGGATAAG